CACGATCATCGTTATGTCATGACTATAGAAGTAGTAATGAAATGGCTAGAGAGATCTTCTAAGGAGCCGTCATATGGACTGTTATAGATAGACGCCTGGCAGTGCATTGATGTTAATTTGCTATACTTCGTCAGCCTTTACAGTGAGTCGCAGAGATCTATGACGGAAAGCGATAGTACTATTTAGACTGGCAACCAAGAGATTGCAATGTGGGTCCGATCGCGTGGCTGGGAAGATCAAATCGAAACGAGGAGTATTGAATATGTCATTGTGAACTATGGGACGGGGAGAAAGGAGTACAGAGTCTCTATACACCAATGCCTATGGTCTTGGCTGGGCAAGACTGAAGCATAGAATATATTCTGTAGAGTTTTCCATCTGGTGTGGGTGAGTGATAGTCTGCTTTGATTTTCGTCACAGGTACGTTGAGGGCAGTGGTTGGTGGCCCCCTCAGGGTGTCATTTCCTGGGCTGTCGTTGACGCTTAACCACAACCGGGGTTAAGGTGGCTAATCACTTACAGAAGTTACAGTGTAATCAGTTATAGGGGATTCTGCAGGCTGTTGAGGGTTCAGCCACCTGATGAGTGAGTCGGTGAAACTCCGACGAAACAGTTTGTCACAGCCCTTCCCTCGTTTCTTGTCCTCTTCTCCCGCTCTGCCTACTGTTTACCGGGCAGTTGTACTCTGTTTGACGATATATATTATATACGGAAAAGGTCAAAAAACCCCATCCGGAAAAGGTCAAACCCCCCAACCCACCCCCATCCCCTCCCCTCCCCCCAACCCACCTACACGTAGCCAGGGAAGAACCTGGGTTTGCTCACCCCCAAACGGGGCAAAAAGAGTAGGATGCCCAGAAAGCAACTTTTGCGAGAAAGGTCGTGAACCCTCCTTTCTTTGGCAAAACCTTTGTATTTCATTCGCCCCGGAAAGCGGCAAAAGGTGCGGGAGGGCCCGAAAAGTTATGTGACCGTGCGAGCTACGTAAGCCGTTGCCGCTGGGCTGATCCGTCGGCCGCAGGGGAAGTGCCGGCTTGTT